GCAGTACTGCATTCAGCTCTGGGTCCCCAACACAAGAAGGGCATGCTCAGCAATGCCACCTTGCTGGAACACCTCAGTATTGCTGCACAGCCTCTGTGGAACCCTGTCCTGGCAAAATGTTGACATGTATCATCGAATCATAGAATACCAGGTTGGAAGGGATCTTACAGATCATCTGGTCCACCCTTTCCTGGCAAAAGGACAGTCTAATCAAGGTGTCCCAGCACCCTATCCAGCTGAATCTTAAAGTGTCCAACTTTGGGCAATCCACCACTTCCCTGGGGTGGTTATTCCAATGGCTGATTGTTCTCATTGTGAAGTATTTTCCACTTTTGCCCAACTGGAATCTCCCAAGGAGTAGCTTGTGCCCATCACCCCTCATCCTTTCCATGTGACTCCTTGTAAAGAGGGAGTTTTCATCTTCTTTGTAGCCATCCTTTATATACTGGAACATGGTGGTAAGGTTCACCCTAAGATTTGTTTTCTCAAGTCTGAACACAGCCATTTCTCTCAGCCTTTCCTCACAAACTGAACAGTCGTTTGCTCGTGTTTGTGGCCCTTCTGTGGACCCTCTCCAGCCTGTGTTGTATAGCAGAGACCAAAACTGAACGCAGTAATCCAGGTGTGGCCTCACAAGCACTGAGTAGAGTAGGATAATGACTTCTTTGTCTCCGCTGATGATGTCTTTGTAGATGTAATCCAGCATCCTCTTGTCTTACTTTGCTGCAGCTGCACACTCTTCACTCATATTGAGCTTGTTGTCAATGAGGACCTCCAGGTCCCTTTCTACAGAGCTGCTCCCCAGCTGGGCAGACCCCAGGCTGTGCTGCACTCTTGCATCATGTTACCCAGAACCTTACAGTTGTCCTTGATGAGCTTCACAAAGTTCTTTTGAGCTCACTTTTCCAGCCTGTACAGGTCTTCCTGCAAGGTGATTCTCCCTTCCATAGTGTCTCCTTCCCCACTTAGTTTAATATCATCGGCAAATGTGGCCGGGGCACACTTGATCCCACCTTTCAGATCACTTGTGAAGATGCTGAACAGTGTTGGGCCCAATATTGATCCCTGTGGATCCTACTAGTGACAGGTCACCAGCTAGAATGGGAGCTGTTCACCACCACCCTCTGGGTGAGGCTGGTCAGCCTGCTCCTCACCCAGCACACAGGTCACTCATCCAGACAGTAACGCACCAGTTTCTCCTGTTTAACAATGGGCTTGTGTTTCCCTTTTATTTCTGACTGTTGTTTACGTACCTGAAGAACCATTTCTTACAGTTTTTGACAGCTCTGGACAATTTAATAGAATCACAGAATCTGCCAGGTTGGAAAAGACCTTTAAGATCATCGAGTCCAATCATTACCTCAGGTGTCAAGACCACCACTAACCCATGTCACTGAGGGCCTCACCTACATGGTTTGTGAACACTTCCAGGGATGGTGACTCCAGCACTGCCCTCGACAGCCTGTTCCAATGCCTGAGCACCCTCCTGGGGAAGAGATTTTTTCTTAATATTCAGACTAAACCTCCCCTGGAGCAGCTTGAGGCCATTTCCTCTTCTGCTGTCACTTGTTACCTGGGATAAAAGACCAACCCCCACCTTGCTACAACCTCCTTTCAGGCAGTTGTAGAGAGAGATGAGGTCCCCCCTGAGCCTTCTCTTCTCCAGACTAAACCCCACAGTTCCCTCAGCTGTTCCCCATCACATTTGTGCTCCAGGCCCTCCACCAACTCCATTGCCGTTCTGTGAACCCACTCCAGCACCTCAATGTCTCTCTTGTAGTGAGGGGCCCAGAACCGAACACAGGATTCGAGCTGCAGCCTCACCAGTGCAGGGGGATGATCACTGTCCTGGCCCTGCTGCCCCACTATTGCTGGTACAGGCCAGGATGCTGTTGGCTTCTTGGCTGACTGGGCACAAGCTGCTCATGTTCAGCTCTATCAATCAGCACCCCCAGGTCTTCTCCCATGAGCAGTTTCCAGCCACTCTTCCCCAAGCCTGGAGCATTGCATGGGATTGTTGTGGCCCAAGTGCAGGAGCTGGCACTTTGCCTCATTGAACCTCATCCCATTGGCCCTAGCCCATGGGTCCAGCCTGTGCAGACCCCTCTGCAGAGCCTTCCTATCCTTCATCAGATCAACACTCCCACCCAGCTTGGTGTCATCTACAAACTTACTGAGGGTGCACTCCAGATATAAAACAATACTGGCCTGAATACCGAGCCCTGAGGGACACCACTAGTAACCAGTCGCCAGCTAGATGTGACACCATTTACTGCTACTCTTTGGGCTTGGCCATCCAGACAGTTTCCAACCCAGTGAAGAATCCTCCTATCCAGGCCATGAGCAGACAGCTTCTCCAGGGGAATACTGTGTGAGACAGTGTCAAATGCTTTACTTAAGTCCAAATACACAATGTACACAGCCTTTCCTCCTCAGCCAGGTGGGTCAACTTGTCATAGAATGAGATCAGGTTGCTCAAGCAGGACCTGCCCTGCATGAGCCTGTGCTGACTGGGCCTGATCCCATTTTCCTGCACATGCTGTGTGATCTCACTTAGGATCATCTGCTTTACCCAATGCTCTGGGACCTGCCCACTAGACCAAGACTGCTAATGGATGATGGAGAGTGGTTTAGCAAGCTCCTCTGCCAGCTCCTTCAGCACTCTTGGGTGCAACCTATCAGGCCCCATAGACTTGTGTACGTCTAAGTGGAGCAGGAGGTCACTGGCAATTCCTTCCTGGATTATGGGTTCTTCAATCAGTTCGCCATCTGGGTCATCCAACTCAGGGGACTGAGTACCCTGAGAATGGCTGGTGTGACTATAAAGACTGAGGCAAAGGTGGCATTGAGTATCTCAGCCATTTCCTCATGCTCAATCACTAGGTTTCCCCTAGTACCCAACATAGGATGGAGATTCTTCTTGGCCCTCCTTTTATTGCTAGTATGTTTGTAAAAATGTTTTTATTATCTTTTATAGCAGTGGCCAGATTAATCTCCAGCTGTGCCTTTGCCTTTCTAACTTTCTCCCTACATAACTTAACAATATTCTTGTGCTCCTCATGGGGAGACAGTGTTCAGCCACATCCAGAACTCCACAATGTAGTGATCACTACCAACCAAGATACTACAAAGCAGGTTTGGTGGGTTTGTGAGTAGCAGCAAGTCCAGCAGTGCCTCATTCCTGGTTGGAACATGCAACATTTCTGTGAGGAAGCAGTACTCTATAGAGTCCAGGAATGTGATGGATGGCATGCTGGCTTCTCTGCTGTTCTTCCACCAGCTGTCTGGGTAGTTGAAATCACTCATAAGAACCAGGTTCTGCTGACCTGAAGCTTGCTTCAGTGACTCAAATATTGCTTTGTTTGCCTTAGTGCCTTGGTTTCAATGTCAGTAGCAGATGCCTACTGTAAGATCCCCCTTGGAGATGACCCCTCTGATCTTGACAAAGAGCCATTCAACAGGGCTTCTACAGTCCCCATCACTGACTTCTATACATCCAATGTTCTCCTTAACAGGACTTAGCTTTTCCTGAATAGGGTGGGACTCCTTCTCTTCTTTTAACCTGCAAGTCAGCCTATAGCCATCCACCATGATGGTCCTGCCATGTGAATTGTGTCACCATGTCTCAGTAATTCCTGTGATACCATAACTTTCTGACTGTGCACAGAGCTCCAGTTCCTCCTGTTTGTTCCCCACATTGCACGCATTGCTGTACATACGCTTGAAGTAGCTGGTATCCCACTTTCCATCTTAGAAGGCAGCTAAGGAACATTTGTTACCGCACTGGTTGGCCTGACTCACTCCCCAGTTGGCTGCAACAGTGTGAGTGTTGCCATTTGGACCCTGCTCCAAAGTCCTTCAGTTTAAAGCGCATCTTACCAAGTTGGCCAACCTGCTGCCAAAGGTTCTGTATAGGTGAATCCCATCCCTCCCTAACAGGCTCTAATTGTTGAATCATTCTGTTGGCATAAAGGCAATAATGAAGTCTCTCTCTGTGGTGAGAGCAGAGTCCTGCAGTCCCTCTGCCACCCTCTTTCCTAATTCTCACGTTCTTCTAAAGCGAATAAAAGACTGCACAGACCAAAGGACGCTGTAGAGGGACCCGGCATAAAGGCATTCTGCTCATAAAGGCTGTAAGAACTGAAAAAGCTGGAGGAGTTCCAGGGAAGCACCAAGAAGGAAACACAAGCGTCACTCCAGAAGAGGAAAATGGACCCAAGGGAGCAAAATGTGACAATCAAACCACATGCAAGTCTGCAATGTGGCAAGCTGAAACACAAAGCAGGTGGAGAGCATGCTAAATCCACAGATGCTGTTGGCAACGCTCTCCCTCAGCATTCCTGGAAGGAAAACAAGGGGAGCAGCAGGAGGGGGCAGTCCCACCAACCCACTCCTATCCTTGGGCTGCTCGCATCCCAGGCAGGGTGCCAGCATGGGATGTTCTGCTCATCTGGGGTTATTTTGGGACTGTAGAGCTAAAGGACCAAGCTTCAAGCTGAGATTCCTGCAAATCCTTTGCTCTGTCCAGGATGTGTGACTCATACAGATCCCAGTGCATTCTGTAAGGCACAAAATCCAATGGGCAGAGGTTTAGAGCTGCAGCTGATGGAGGTCCATGTTCCTGTAAATCACACACTTTTCCCTAAAAGGAGGTTTCAGTGTGCTGCACAGAGCAGCACTTCCTCTTTGCAGGAGTATGAATGAAGCCAAGAGCCTGAGGGCTGCCTCAGAGGTGGGGAAAAGGAGATCTCATCCACCTTTTGGGAATGCAGAAGGGCCCCCAGCTTATCCTCCCATCCCACTCACCCAGCATGGAACAGGGAAGAGCCAGTGCTCTGCCATGCTTGGTGTCAGAGATTCACTTTGAGGACGCAGCATCCCATTTGGGCTGGAAAAGGGGGTGTTCTCTTCCTGCAATAACAGGTTGAGAGATCACCCTGTACCCACCACAGTGCTTTAGCCCACCTTCCCCGGGACATACCCACAGACTGCACAAGGTCGGGTTTGAAGTTAAAAATAGCTCATTTTATTTGTTTTGGGGGCACATCTTCCCTCAGGGCTAGTAGCAGCCCCCATGCTGGTGCAGACTGATGGTGCTCAGGTGCCTCAGGCTCTCCACGTCTGAAGTAAGAAGGTTCTCCATCCTCCTCTCAGGCCATCCTCTTGAAGGTGTTACGTCCCACCCTGTGGGGAAGCAGAAGGTCACTAGTGCCCAGCCAGTGGAGGGGCAGGGGTCCCAGTGGGGCTGGGTGTCCTTGGCTCACCTTGTGGCTTTCCAGTCATTGTGTTGGGAGTCAACCTTCTCCCGCAGCATCCAGGAGGTCTGCAGGACCTCCTCACTGCTGTTCGCACCAAAGCACTGACCCACAAAGACAGCAGTGGAGTCTGAGGGTAAGCAGGGGCTGTTAGCATCCAAGTGGGACCCTGGCTGTTCATGGGGCTTCATGAGCACCAATGGGTCCCATGCTCAGGGAAAAAGGTGGGTCCCGATATTTGCAGGGGAATGCTCTGGCAGTGATGCTGTCAAAGCAACTCTTGATGCCACCCAGCCCAAACACTCTTTTAGGAAGTCACCTGCTGCCCTGAAGGCATTGTGCAGAGTGGGGACAGCTCAGGAAAGGACAGACTGGGACAGGTGCAGGGACAAAGGGATAGGGATGGGCACTGGGACCTGCTTAAGCTCCCATTCTCATCCCACCTCCCCATCCAGGCACAGCCACTGACCAGAAAACTTCCAGTTGACAGTGAATCCGAAGGTGCAAAGCCCATCCTCGTCCAGGTGCTGGGAGCCAACAAGGGGGGATGGCTCGATGGGCTTCTGGGTGCTGGACACTGCAGTGTGGTACTCGCCTGAGAAGTTGCCATGGTTGTCAACCTTGTCCACAAACATCTTGGAGCCCAGGTCATTCTCCCACCAGCCAGTCAGGTCACATACCTGGGGATGAGCAGATTTGCCCCTGAAGACTGCTCGCACACAGCCCCTTCCCCTGCCCACATCCCCATGGGGTGCTGGACTCACCTTGCTCTTCCCTGTGGAGTGCTCCTGCCTTTGGCTCAGCCACCATTTGGTGCTGGTTGCCTTTGTCTCCTTCATGCCGGCTTTTTCCCCACCTGGAGTTTTGTCTGCCTGGCAGAAGATCTTGGAAAAGAGGTAAAACACAGGGGCAGTCAGGTGAGCTTTGCGACCCCAGGACACATCTGCCTGTGCCTATGGGGATGTGTGCTCTGCATGGCACTGGTGCTTGATGTGAGCCCTCAGGTTCATGCAGCCCCTGCAGCATCCCACTCGCAAAGCTCCAGCTCCAAACCCAGCCTGTCCTCCCCACACCACACTTCCCCAGGTAGGGGCAAGAAGCCACCCCACCGGTGGACCCTGCCCCAGTTTCCCTTCATGTCATGCCCATCCCTCCCGGGGACACGGATAGCCCCGCAGCATCCCCCGGCTCCCCTCGGCAGGACCTCCCCCCGGAGCAGGGGTTCTCCCGCTGCCGGAGGGTCCCTCCTGATCCCGGGCAGCCTCCCCAGGCCAGTGCCCCATCGTGTCCCGCAGCGGCTCCACCTGCATCCCCGCCGCGGCCGCGGCCAGCGCTGTGCCCGTGGGCACCGCGAGGGTGCAGAGCAGGCGGCGGCTCATCGTCGGCAGCAGCGAAACCGAATCCAGCCGTGCCGGGGCCGCCCGCCCCTTTTTATAACACGGCCGAGGAGCTGGCTTCCCGGAAAGCCTCGGCAGCAGGGACGGGGACACGGATGGGGATGGGGATGGGGGTGTGGGTGGGGAAGGGGATAGGGATGGGGATGGGGGTGGGGATGGGGACAGGGGTAGGGATGGGGATGTGGATGGAGTTGAGGATGGGGATGGAGATGAGGATGGAGAAGGGGGTACAGGTGGGGATGGGGATAGGGATGGGGTTGAAGATGGGGGTGGGATCATGGATGGGGATAAGGAAAGGGGTGGGGATGGCCACAGGGATGGGGATGTAGATAGAGTTGAGGATGGAGCTGGGGATGGGGATGGAGACAGGTATGGAGACTGGGATGAAGGCAGAGATGGGAATGGATATCAGAAGGAGGATGGGGATGAAGGCGCAATGGGGACATGTAGGCTATTACATGTCTATAGATGGGCTGTCTATAGACAGGTAGGAGCAGCCTCACGTTCACAAGCCCTCATCCCCATGGGGAACTTCAACCACCCCAATAGCTGTTGAAGGGACAGCACAGCGCAGCATATGCAATCCAGAAGGTTCCTGGGATGTCTTGATGTTGACTTCCTTCTCCAAGTGATAGAGGAGACAATAAGGAGAGGTGCTATGCTGGACCTTTTCCTCACCAGCAGAGAGGGGCTGGTGGTGAGTGTGAAGCCCAAGGGCAGCCTCGGCTGCAGTGTCCATGAACTGGTGGAGTTCAAGATCCTTAGAGCAGTGAGGAGGCTGCACAGCAAGCTTGATACCCTGGAACTCATGAGAGCAGACTTCATCCTTGGCTGCATCAAAGGAGTGTGCCCAGCAGGTTGAGGGAGGTGATTCTGCCCCTCTACTCTGGTGGGACCCCACCTGGAGACCTGAGTTCAGCCCTGGGGCCCTCAACACAAGAGGGATGTGGAGCTGCTGGAATGAGTCCAGAGGAGGCCATGGAGATGCTGCAAGGGCTGGAGCAGCTCTGCTGTGTAGCCAGGCTGAGAGAGCTGGGCTGGTTCAGCCTGGACAAGAGAAGGCTCCTGAAGGGGAGACCTTAGAGCAGCTCCAGTGCCTAAAGGGGCTACAGGAAACCTGGAGAGGGGCTTGGGACAAGGGCCTGTAGGGACAGGAGAAAGGGGAATGGCTTTGAACCATGCAGAGGGGAGATTGAGATGAGCTCTTAGGCAGAAGCTCTTCCCTGTGAGGGTGCTGAGGCACAGGGTGCCCAGAGAAGCTGTGGCTGCCCCATCCCTGGCAGTGTTCAAGGCCAGGTTGGACACAGGGGCTTGGAGCAAGCTGCTCTAGTGGAAGGTGTCCCTGCCCGTGGCAGGAGGTTGGAACTTCATGAGCTTTAAGGTCCCTTCCAACCCAAACCAGACTGATTCTATGTAGGACAGGTTGCCTCATGTTGCCCACTGGTGTGGCCCAGCCTGAGGGTCCCTGGCCCTGTGTCTCATAGAGGTGTGCAGCCCTGGTTGCATGCACCCGATGTGAGCAAGAGGGCAGCGAACACCAGGGTGGGCTGCTGCTGCAGGGGAACAGGGCAGGGGGCTATATGGGAGGCAGGGCAGGAGTGCGGGGCCATATGGGAGGCAGGGCAGGGGTGTGGGACATATGGGGCTGATGATAAGTGTGGCTTGGGAGCAGTGGTGTTGACAGTGGCAGTGCTGGCTTCCTGTAAACATGTGCTTTTGCTTTCTCTTTCTGTTCAGTTTCACAAGCAGGATCTTTGCCTCATCCCTGATTCTGTAAACTGCCTTCTGCATGCACAAGTCTGGGTGAGAGCAAGGCGCCCCAGTCCTCACATCACAGCATGGGTTCTTGCAGGGTAACAAAGAAAACACTCAATCAAGATGCAGAATTGTAGTTAGGCCAAAAAAAATGAAGCTAGACAAAAGGTAAAAGCAGAATATTTTTGATCATACCTATTTCTATTCACATTCTTACCGTAAAAGCCCCATTTACCGGAAGGAAAATTTAATCAGCTTTTTGTTGGAATGCTGCATTATAAACTGCATCTGTGCACACGGAGTCATGTTGTGAACAGTCAGAAATGTATTTATAGAAAGTCTTTCTTCAGAATGGACAAGATCTTCTGTTCCATGTACTGCTCAGGACTGGGGGGGCTGAGAGCAGCCCCAGAGCTCAGAAGGGAAGGAGGGAGGGGAGCGAAGGCTGAGGAAGAGTGGGGAAGGGCAGGAGCATGGTGAGAGGAAGAGGATGGTGGACAGGGCGCCATGCTTCCCCAAGGCACTGTGTTTGCTGTCCCTGCCCCATCCATCAGCCTCTTCCCCCAGCAGCCCTGCATTCCCCAAGCAGCACTGTCCTTTGAGCCCTTCCTGCCTCTCCCAGCCCATCCCTGGGATGCACAGGGGCATCCGAGCTGGGAGCCGTGTGTTATGTATTGGGTAACTTGTGAGCTGGGAACATCGTGAGCTGGTGAAGTGATAAATTAGTGAGTTCACGTGTTGGACTGGTCCGTGCAAAGGGCGTTGTTTGATGTGTGTGGTTTCATTACCAATGAGCTGATAAAGTTTAATGTGCAGGAGGTGATGTTGTCCTCTGAATCTGAGTTCCCAAAAGCAGCCTTATCGCGTTCCACCCTCTGGCTGCTCAAGTGATAACCAGATAGCGGGCAATGCAAGCATACATGTATATTTTCAGCATGGATCCTTCTAGCATCTGGTCTTAGCCACCCAGTCTGCCCAGTAGCTACCCCTGGAGCCACTTGTCCTTCCTATGGACCCTCTAGAATCCAGCCTAGACTTTGGATCACTCCAAAACCCCACCATGGTTCCCTCTGTGTGAGCAGGCACTCAGCCCTCCCCTGTTACATGTACCCATGAACCCACACCCAGAGCAACGGCTGGAAATGGAGTTCAATGGGAAGACGAGGCAGACTGGTGTGCAGAGACAATGATGCCATGTGAAGTGCTGACGCATCCTGTTGAGATGGGACTCCACACCAGGGATGCTGCCTGGGGACACCCATTGCTGAGTGCCTGTAGATGCCCCACATAGGTGCATGGGCAAGAAGGCACCTGCAGAGGCCTGAGGCCATGATCTGGAAGCAGGATGACCCAGCTTCTATCCTTCCCTTGTCCCCCAGTCCCACAAAACACCTCCCTTCTCTCCCATTGGACCACCTCACTCTGCCCATGGGCACAGTGTGGCTTCTTGCACCCCAGGGACACACAGGGCACAGCTCTTTGCCAGGCACAGAAAGGTTTATTCAGCTCCATGTATGGGGGCAGCAAGCTTTGGGAAGGGACACTGGGAAGCACTGGGAGGAAGCAGCACAGGGTGAGGGTGTGTTTCCAGCCAGGATACCGGGAGCAAGCAGGAGCCCAGCCCAGGACCAGGACAGTGGAGAGCCTCAGGAATGCAGGTGGGACAGCAGGATCCAAGCAGCTCCAATCTCCATCCCCATCACTGGATGCGGGTGAAGATGGAGGTGCCGACCCTGCAGGAAGGCATGTCAGCAGAGGGGAGGCAGGGCTGTGGGCTAGGGTTAGGGTTAGGGTTAGGGCTAGGGTTAGGCTTAGGGTTAGGGCTAGGGTTAGGGTTAGGGTTAGGGTTAGGGTTAAGCTTAGGGTTAGGGTTAGGTTTAGGGTTAGGGCTAGGTTTAGGGTGAGGATTAGGGTAGGGTTAGGGTTCGGGCTAGTTTTAGGTTTAGGGTTCGGCCTAGGATTAGGGTTAAGTTTAGGGCTAGGGCTACAGTTAGGTTTAGGATTAGGGTTAGGTTTAGGATTAGGTTTCAGTCTAGGGTTAGGTTTAGAGTTAGGCTTAAGTTTAGGGTTTGGTTTAGGGTTAACTTTAGGGTAAGTTTAGGGTTATTTCTAGCTTTAAGATTAGGGTTAGTGCTAAGTTTAGGTTTAGTGTTAGCATTATTGTTTATGCAGGGAGTTTGCTCACCTTGTTGCTCTCCATGAGTCTCTGCGGGTTGGGACCTCTTCCCGCACAAGCCATGTTGTCTCCAGCGTCTCCTTCCCACGGCGGTCCACAAAACACTGGCCCACAAATGCACTGATGGAGTCTGTTGGGATTCAGTTGGGACAGAATGAGTTCATCTTCTGTGCCCCATATAGAGATTCCTGTTTCTGGCAGGCAGAAAAACACACACCCCCCGCCACCTGCACTGCGTAGACAGAGGGACCTCCAGATTGCTTGGACAGATAGATGGGTATTGTCCGTGCCATGTCCTTTGGATAGATGGACACCCCTGCCGCACTCCCAGATGACTTTCCTCCCATCCACCCCAAACGGACAGCTCTCCCCACACCCATTCCCATGGCAGCAGTGTGAGCACTTGACTGGTCCATGGCCACAGCCACTGTTTCTCTGGGTGCATGGGGAGTGTGTGGCAGCCCCCCACTGCCAGCATGGGAAGGGGATGGCTGGCTGCCCCAGGACCCTGTGCTGGGTATCATCGTACCTGCGAACTGCCACTGCACGGTGAAGCCGAAGGTGGGCTGCCCCTTGCTACTGGAGTGCTGCAGGGCCCCGTGCAGCGGTGACACCAGGATCTGCTTGTTGGTGGCTGCCACAGCAGTGTGGTAGGAGCCCGAGAAGGTTCCAGCTGCATCCAGGGCCAAGAAGGTCACGTTGGAGCCCAGCTCGTTCCTCCACAAGCCCTGCAGGTTGCACTGGGGACCGGGGGGTGTGTAGCTGCCTTGGGCAGTGCCAAGCCACAGCTCACCCTCCAGCGTGCCTGAGCAGTGGGATGTGTGCCCCACATGCATGGGGCTGGCACAGCCCCTCTGCATGGTTGATGGGACTGATGGGGATAGCACCTCCCCATCCCATGGCAGGGCAGTGGGGTGCTGGGTATCCCCATACGAGGGGTAGGAGACCAGCCAGAGCAGGCAGCCTCCTTGGTCATGTGTGCTGCACCATGGCATGGCACAGCATGGCATGGCACAGCACACAGCAAGGGCAGCAAGACCCTTGGACACAAACGTTCTATGCTCTGTGGCACAGCTTGGTATGGCGCCGTGAAAGCATGCAGCCCCCTCAAGGCATGCACACTGTGCCCCAGGGGTGGCATAGCGTGGCACTGCACAGCACAGCACACAGCGGCAAAGCACAGCGTAGCGCAGCACCGCACAGCACGGCGCAGCACAGCATGGCACAGCACACGGTGGCAAAACACAGTCTGGCACAGCACTGCATGGCACAGGACACGGTGGCAAAGCACAGCACATGGTGGCAAAGCACAGCGTGGCACTACACAGCCCAGCACGGCATGCCATGGCACATCGTGGCACAGCACGGCACAGCACCAGACAGCACAGTGCAGCGCAGCAAGAGCAGGCAGCCCCTCGGCTGCTCACGCTGCACCCCAGGGATGGCACAGCAGGGCACGGCGCAGCACGGCACGGGGCAGCACAGGGTGCCGGAGTGCCACAGCACAGCGCGGCAGGGCACGGCGTGGCACGGCATCTCCGGCCACGGCACCAGGCAGCACAGCAGAGCGCAGCAAGAGCAGGCAGCCCCCTGGCCGCTCACGCAGCAGCGGGGCACGGGGATGGCACAGCAGCGCAGGGCGCAGCACGGCACGGCACAGTACAGCATGGCAGCACGGAGCGCAGCCCTCCTCTGCGCGCTGAGCGCACCCCCCGCCTGCCCTTACCTTCCTGGCAACGGCGGAGCGCGGAGCGAGCAGCGCCAGGGCGAGCAGGAGGCAGCAGCCGCCGGTCCCCATGGCAGCAGCGGTGCTGGGGCTGAGAGCGCTGCCCACGCTGCGGCCCGCGCCCGCCCCGGCTCTTTTATGCCGCAGGGGGCAGAGGCCGCCCATGCCGGGCCCCCGGCCAAGGGCCACCGCGGTGGGACACGGGCCACCGGCCACCGCGGCACAGCGAGAGGAGCCCCGCGGAGCACGGGGAGGTGGGGGGGGGGGGGCTGCGGCAGCGGCTCGGTACCCCCGGGGGCAGCGGGACACATTGGGCACTGGAGATGGTGACAGGAGAGGTCATGGTCCCCCAGGGGTGCTGTGGAGGGGGTGGTGGGGTGCGGGTGCTGAGGCACGACGTGACGAGAGATGGTGGGTGTTTGCAGCAAAGCTTTATTATGAGAAGCAATGGGGATCAGGAGGGGGACACACTGCAGCCAACTCAGGAGCTCCGATCACCCTCACTCCTTCTTTGTGCGCAGGCGGAAGAAGACATTAGTGCCGACCCTGTAGGACACAGAAAGAGGAGACGTAAGGGTTGGAATTGCATCCTTGCACACGACAAGCCCACCCAGCCCTGTCTCCCCCAACATCAGATGCACGATGGTGGGACCCCTGGGCACCACCCTTGGTCACCACCAGCAGCTCTGAGGACGCTGATCACGATGAGGTGCATCACTGCTGGGGATGCGCAGGGGAACTGTGCGGGGCATGGTCTCACATGGTGGCTTTCCAGTCGTCCTTGATGCTGTCCACATTTGACCGCAGGAGCCACATCGTCTTCAAGACCTCCTTTCCTTCCTCATCCACAAAGCACTGGCCCGTGAACACAGTGATGGAGTCTGCAGGGATGGGGCAGGAGGTGAAGGGGAGCACGGACAAGGTGGTGGGTCAGTGCCCTGAACCCTGTCCCAGCACAGGGGGCAGGAAAGCTGGGCTGCCCCTGCTCTCTTTGACAGTGGTAATGGGGAGAGCAGGCAGGAGGGGTCTCGAGTAGAGATGGGCACACAGCAACCCCCCAGAGGATCCTCTGCACCCTGGGACTGGGAGGTGACACCAGGCAAAGAGCTCCAGAGCCAAGGATGGGAGAGCATCAGGGACAGCACAGGAGATGTGAGAGCACTGGGGACACTGCAGGGGAAAGCAGGGGATCATCAGGGACACTGCTGTGAGGGCAGAAGAGCATCATGGACATCACAGCAAGGGCAGGGGCTCTGGGGACAGCACAGTGGAGCTCTGAGGACACAACAAGGCAGGTGGGGAAGGAGAAGCACCTGAAAAGCTCCAGTTGACAGTGAAGCCAAAGGTGGCCTTGCTGTTCTTGTTCGTGCGGTGCTGGGACCCCTGCAGCGGTGACACTTTGATCTCGTTGCCAGTGGCTGTCACAGCCGTGTGGTAGGAGCCGAGGAATTCACCTTTCTCATTCACGGCCATGATGGTCATGTTGGAGCCCAGGTCATTGATCCAGCGCCCGGTCAACGTGCACTGCGGTGGAAGGGACCCATCACCGGTGCTGCAGCGCAGCCCCTGCCCACCCTGCCCCTGCATCCCAGCCCTGCCGTTACCTTTCTTGTGGAGAGGACTGGGGCCACCATGGCCAGGCTGAGCACCAGGAGGAAGGGGGTTGCGTGCACCATCTCTGCAGCAGCGGGCAGCGGGTGTACCTGGGGGTGTCCTCCTCGCAGAGCTCTGCTCATGTGCCTGCTTCTCCCCTATTTATTGCTGCCGGGGCTGCGGTGGCAGCATCAGCTGCGGTGTTGTGCAATCTGGGTGTTCCCAAATTCGTAGTTCCCGGACAGATGAAAGTGTGTTTGCTGGCAGATATTCCCAGAAATGCCAGCTGAAACAGTCCGTCCCTGCTTACACTACCCTGGCACCTCATGGGGAAACCTTGGCTCTTACAGTTCATTGACCAGCAAGACAGGGGAAACCACCCTCATATCCCTTCTGGACCCCTTCTTCCACATCATTGCTGTGCATGGGGTGCATAAAGGGTGCCAAGGAGCCCTATCCCGGGGCACCCCAATATCACTGCAGCACACATCCCACCCTCCTCTTCCTCACCAGGCATCCTTGTGCAAACCCACCCGAAAGGCTCCTTTAAGGGCTTTGCTTTATCCACCCCCAATACTGATGCAGCCAGAGATCAGACTGCAGAACACTTGTCCTCCTCTCACTCTAGGCTGGTATGTAGGTTTGCTGTTGTTTTTACAAACTGGCTTTTGTTGGAATTGCTGTGTTTATGGAAAACGAGCATTCCCCAGGTACTTTGGACATCACATTTTAATGATGACAAAGGTTGTATCGATGCAGGGATTCTTGAATAACTTTAAGTACGTGTTTATATATTTTCCCCTTACATTATATTGTTGCTGGCTGGAGAGGCTGTAATAGCTCTGTTCAAATCAGGACTCTTCACCCCATTCCTCAGTCATTTTCAAGGCAGCCTCCTAAAACACGTGTGTTTTAATTCCTCCAGGCATCACAGCAAAAGGCTGTGGAGGATTCACCAGAAAACGCTCTTTTACCTAAAAAGGAGACAAGGCAACTTTTTGCAACATCTCAGATATACTTCCCCAGCTTTGCTTTCCCTTAACCTCACATTTGAGCCCCAGTTTGCTTCTGACAGCAATATTCACCACTACCCATGCCGTGGAGCATTGCGTTTCTGCTGCTAGCACCTCAATGCTCCCTCTCCTCTCTGCAGGAGCCACACACCCTTATTGCAGCCCTGCCAGTGAGGGGTCCCTGGGCAGAGAGCTGGCTGCCCGCGGGAAATTCCTGCCCTTCTGTTTGCTTCCCTCTGTCTTAGAAATGAGCTGCATGACAAGGTATGTTTTTCCACTGTTTGCTTTGGCTGTGTTTTTGGCAACCAGGTGCTGCCTGGAGTGAGGCCGACGCTGGTGACAATAAGCTTGACCAGTCTGGAAAGGTTGCATGGGCAGGAGGGGCAGCCACCGTCCCCTCACCATCAACCACTCTCCTTCACACCCTTGCCATCACCCCTTCTCCATCACCGCCTCTCCATCACCCCCTCGCCATCAACCTCTCACCACCACCTTTCTCCTTCAACCCCTTGCATTCATCCCTATCACCCCCTCTCTTTCACCCATCTCCATCACCCCCTTGCTATCACCCCCTCTACATCATCCCCTCTCCTTCACCCACTTGCCATCACCCCCTATCACCCCCTCGCCATCAACCCCCCTTTCACCCCCTTACCATCACCCCCTCACCACCACCCGTTTGCAATCATCCCCTCACCGTCACCCCCTCTCCTTCACCCATTTGCCATCACCCCCTATCACCCCCTCTCCATCACCCCCCCTTTCGCCCCCTTACCATCACCCCCTCACCACCACCCGTTTGCAATCATCCCCTCACTGTCACCCCCTCTCCTTCACCCATTTGCCATCACCCCCTATCACCAACTCTCCATCACCCCCTTTCCCCCCCTCTCCTTCACCCCTCTCCATCACCCCCTCTCCATTACCCACTCTTCATTAGCCCCTCTCCCTCAACCCCTCTCCATTACTCCCTCTCCATCACCCCCTTTCCATCACCCCATTGCTGTCATCCCCTTGCCATTGCCTTGGTACAAGGAGCTCTCCGTGACTACAGTGGCCATGGGGATGAGCACCACAAGGTCTCTGCACTCTCACTGCTGCTGATAGCAACCCACAGCTCATTTACAGGCAGAGGTTCCATTTTCAGCATCGCACAAACAGTATTTCTTCTGCTTTCACATAACCTTCATTTTTTCCAGTATTTAACAAACCCCGTCCCAGAAGCGTCTATTGAAAGTGCAGGCATCAGCTCAGAGCTCGAGGACATAGATTTCTTGACCAGCCTTGGAGGAGCCAAAACCAAAACAAGCAGATACCTGGGGTATCTCTGTGAGATTTGCACCCTCCAAAGGGCAGCCAGCGAAGCGGCTGGAGCCTGGAAATCATTACTATGGCTAAACCCTGAGATGCCATTCCTGAGCCTTGGCACAGCAGGGGAGTGGGCAAGGGGGAACGGGCGGGCAGGCAGGGAACAAGTCCAAAGCAGAAAGTGCTGAAGAAGTTAAAAGTTGGCACGGCTTTGGTTTAAACCTGTGTGTGTCAGGGGTTTACGAATAATAAAGGTTAATGAATAATAAGAATAAAGGGTTAATGAACAATTAAACTTCCTGCACAAGCCGGGATTGAGTCAGCCTTGAAAAATAGTGTTACAGGCAAATGTTAGTGAAAATCATATCTGTAACCAAGGATCTTGGTCCCCGTCCATGGCCGTACCCATGCAGTCACTGCTGAAAGCTGAGCCTATTGGTTTATTATTGCGTATTACTGACGCAATACAGTCAAAAACAGGAAGAAAAAGCAGAAATACCCCTTGAACACAGCCTGAATGCCCCAACCTAAGAAAGAAAGTCTGAAGTCAGCCTGTCCCTTGGGGTTAAGGAGCATTGCTGATGGGTTGCAGCAATCAAACCCAGCCTGGTCAGAGGCTGTGCTGGCTTTGCTACCTGGTTTTGTATGTTGTCAGCTGGATCGGGACATCACAACATGCCAACAACACAGAAGGAAGTGGGCAGCTCAAGTGAGCTGCACCATGTCCTGGACCCCCTCTGCACCGCCCCCAGCATCAGCCCAGTGCCCCTAAGGGAGCGCTGCCATGGGAGGAGGACGTTGCTTGGTCCAAAGGGGCCGTATCCAGGAGAACCTGCCCGTTCCCGGATAACGCAGTGCTGTGCCCAGGCGGATGCGGGAACGCTCCCCTGTGGAGCGAAGAAAAGGACATTTATCACCTGAAGGCAGCACGGGCCACCACAGCGATGCCCTGCCTGCACCAGCGCCCAGGCAGGGCAAGAACAGGCACAGGGGTGAAGGCCAGGCTGCCTCTCACCCCAACCCTCATGGCACTTATGATTCAGAGGGTGTTACAGCAAAAGGCTCTCCAGAGGATAGAAACAGCTTGCAGCTAAACCCGGGTGCAGGGTTCCCTCCCCGCACCCACAAAACCAGGGAGGTGCAGCCTTCGCAGGCTGACCTGGCACAGAAATGAGGAAAACAAAGCAAGGTGCCCGGCCCTGGGCAGGTGAGGAACATGACTTAATCAAGGGCAGGCACACAGAGCCCATTTCCAGGCAGCACGCTAAGCTCCTTGCCTTCCTCTGACAAGCACAGAACAGAGGAGAGGACAAGGGGCAGGTCCTATGCCCCCTGCACATCTTGCTCCTGTTAGCAGTCCCCTACAAGAGGCAGCCTGCTATTTGTTTGCCCTCTCCAATTAAGCTGAGTGTTGGCTCTCCCTCTATCCCCAGCCCAGTAAGAAGACAGGGGACAATGCAGGGTCTCCCCCCTCAGGCTGCCCCTCCCCCCCACCCCATCACAGAAGACACACACAAAAGAGACACAGCTGGACAAATTTATTAAGAATTTAAATGATTCATCCCCTAAAACATGCTCTGCTGCCCACCCTAGCGCTAGCAGGGAGGGGGGCCATGGTACCAGACCAGGTCCTACTGCCGCTGCTTGGGCTCGATTGTCACAGATTGTCACCACCCAGGAAAGCCAGGGCTCCCCTGGGGACTGCATCCACCCTGGGGCAGAGCCAGTCTTTATTTGTAGTGTCACAAAGTGATGAACAGCTACAGCATCCATGTGCCCACATGCACCAGTCCCATGTCTTCACACACACATACATCCACACTCTGTTTTTCACTGGTTTTGCTCTGCAGACGACCTTACCCAGCCCACTGACCGCAGGAGAGAGGGTACCTGTGCTCTGAGGCAAGGTACCAGCTCTGGTTGAGGATGGCTGGGGAGGAGGGGGGGGCTGCAGGCTGTCAGAGCCCTGAGCAATGGGGAAAGGGAGGCACAGGCTCCAGCAGTGCCTCCTTATCCCGCTCCTCTCCTAGCTGAGGAGTTGTTACCTGCACCTCTTGTCCCCCCCTAGAGCTCAGTGGTGGTGGTTGGAAGACCCCTGAGGTGAAGGACATGTAGTGGAGGTAGCGAAGGAAGACAGCGATGTGAGTATTATCAGAGAGGAGGGAAGGGCCTCCCCCAGCCCTCCTGGTGAACCTGCTGCTCTGCCCAGTGCCAACTGGCTCAGGGGTGGTTGGGGACCTGGGTGGGTGCTGGTGCCTGGCTGGCTCTGCGCTCCAGAGCCAGCTGCATGCTCCAGATGCTAAGGGGACGCATGTAAGCCAGGGAGCGGTAGACTTTCTTCTCCCGATAGGCCTCTGGTGTCTGGAAAGCCATCCCCAACTGCTCCCACACTGTTCGGTAGCAGCCTTCTGCTGTACGAAAGCCTTCTTCCACCAGCCCCTGCGTCAGAGGGAAGATGAACATCAGCACACCCACAGAGCACAAAGGAGATGGCATGTGCCAAGGGGCACAGCATCACCACTCACCTCCTGGATCATAGTGGCAGCCAAGGCATAGACCACACCAACCCACACCTCGTTGGACTGCACACTGGAGGTGTCGGGCTCCCCGCTGGGTCTCATGCCATTCACCGCTCCCATGGTGCCACCAGCAAAGCCCATGACGTTCTTCTCAAAGATGGTCCTGAGGGCACTGACGATGTGACTCTTGGGGAAGACCTGGGTGGACAGAGAGGGGGCTTTGGGCACAGTGGACACACAGATGCCTCAGGCTGGGTCTGCAGGGAGCAGGGTGAAGCTTTCCATGATAAACAGGTCAGCACTGCTCAATGGGTAAACAGCCACC